AAAAAAACAATGCAAACTACCGATAATTCATCTGATTTACTTGATTCATTAAAATGTCCAATTACTTATGAATTTTTTCGTGATCCAGTTATTGGTAGTGATGGTCATACATATGAACGAGAAAATATTGTTGCATGGATAAAACAACATGGATCAAGTCCAATTACACGAGAACCAATGGATTTAAATTCATTAAGATCAAATCATATTGTAAAAAAAATGGTTGAAGAATTTCTATCATTATCATCACAAAAACAGTATCGATTTCGTCTTGATATCGATATATGTAAAACTAAACCACGACCAATATTTCAAAGTCCTGGTAAAACAATTTATGAAGCAAAATGGATGATGAAACATGGACCAGATATCGTATTAATTAAAATCGATGGTGCAAAAGCTAATCGTGAAGCTAGTTTCTATGTAAAACTTAGTTGTCATCCTCATATTGTTCGAACATATGGATTAGTTGATAGTAATTCTTCTGATAGTATTATGTTAGTTCAAGAATATGCGTCCGAAGGTGATCTTAGTGAATTATTACGTAGTAATAATTTTCAACCAACATTAGAAGTTTTAATTGAAATCTTTCGACAAATTGTTGATGCTATGATTTGTTTAGCGGATAATCAAATCATTCATGGTGATTTAGCTTGTCGTAATGTTCTTGTTTTCCGATCAAGTCCTACTCGATCTACAGAAATCTTAGTTAAACTAACTGATTTTGGTTTAACACGAACAAGTTCACTTTTTTCTGTCATTGATTCACCTGCATCGGCAACATTAAAAATGATTCCAGTACGTTATGCAGCACCTGAATTACTCTTAGATGCATCTTCATCTAATTATTCAGAAAAATCAGATGTATATTCTTTTGGTGTTCTTATGTGGGAAGCATGTTCAAATGGTGCAGTACCTTATGGTGATATAAAATCAACGGATACTGTCTATCAAGAAAAATTAAATGGAAAACTACTTGAACGACCAAATATATGTCCAAATGAACTTTGGAATTTGATTGTACATTGTATACAACAACAACCAAATGAAAGACCAAGTTTCAAAGATATTCAAGATATTTTACTTGAATTACGATTTGAAAATAAACGAGATTCTTCTAATAGATTTTCTCAGGTATGAAAAAAAAAATATCAAATATGTCACGGTTCCTTTATATATAAGTTCATTTATAGATTCGTTCCATCAGTTTCGAAAAACAAATTAATAAAACGTATGTTTTTTAGAAATGATCAATCATAGAAAGTTGTTGATCATTTTCTTTGTAGTTTACCAATAAATAATACTGCAGAAGAGTCACATTATCAATGGTATAATGAAGAATGCTTTTCGAAAGTAAATTCTTTTACTTTTATCACCAATATAAAAATCTAGATATGTTTACGGTTAGAACAATGATAATGAAAAGCAAGATCATTTTCCTATATATCAAAATTTTGACGAGAATGCAGATAAATATGTTGTATCAAATGAAACGAATACAAATACGCCATCTAGTGATTATTATATACCATGTCAATACTGTTTACAATCGATAAGTAATGATGATTTTGATATGCATAAGGTAAATTTTATTCTACTACTCAATGAATAAAAGTCAATAATTTCTCTTACTTTATCGAATAGAATGTTTGCAATATTCGTCGTCTTATCTTACAACTTGTTCAGTATGTATAATTGTATATAAGATTGATTTTTTACTACACATCTATATATATGTATATATATAGAATGGTTATTCAATTACCATTTGTAGATATTACATCATGTGAATACTGTCAATATATAATTCCATTAAATATGTTAAATATTCATCAGGTAAATTTTATGGAATACAAAAGTATTAATAAATAAATTTTATTCAAAGAATACATGTGGCGAAAATTCGATTAATCTTCATAATCCAATTCAAAGTCCACAACATCTACAATCATCAATGAATATCTGTATATAAAAATTAAACTCATGATTTAATGATTTATAATTATGTTTTTTCGTTAGATGTAAATTCTACTCACTTGAAACCTGTATCACGTCCAAATTCAAAGATTGAAGAAAATGTGTATGCAAATATGATCATGCCAGATGAACTAATAAAAAATTTAATATCTAATTGTGTGTTATACATACTTACAATTTCTTTCAATCTAATTAATATGTTTTTAGCTAGTACGCAACCTGAAACATCGAATCAATCTCCTACTCAGCACGTGAGTACTTATTGATTACTTATTTGAAATAAATTATTTGACTTATAGGAATCTACGATCGCAACAGAACAAAAACACGCAAAGTATGATTCTATACATATAAAATTATTTTGTATATTTATTTGTATTATTTTTAGAAGTGGCTTTCGAAAAGCTTTCTCAAGTTTTAAAAAGAAAATGTTGTAAAAACTATCATTCAATCATTTGTATTTATAAATATATTAAAAATAACAATAATGTTCTTTCTATCAAAATACTAGATTAATAGACATTTCATAGCAATGAATTTTTACTCAGTAGTACAACTATAAGTGAGAAAATAATTATATAATATATAACTTTTTTTGATAATCTACCTGCAGATATCGTTATATGATTTATGGATTCAAGTTACTTATATTTCTTTATAATGAATACTTCTTTATCTTAATTATCACAGATAATCATTCTTACTACTAATGTTTCTATATCCTGTGGTTTATTGAAATTGACATATCATATTAATATGAGTTTGATTTGTGTGTTAATGCTCTAGTCTCTCAATATAGCATGCCTTCTAAACTGTAACATACCAGTTGAATATCGATAGTATCTAATATATTTTCTTTAATATTTTTTTTGACTAAAAGCAACAATAAGAACAGTTTATAGATCTCGATGCTTATGTCATGCATGTGACAAAAGAAAATATGTTGATTATAAGTATTTCCTGAATCAATTTTTTCTTTACACTTAATTTGTGCATGATTGATACATTTTGTGATGATGTAATGGTATTATCCAACTACCCTTTCATTCAATAAGAAAAATTTTTTCATCACTTTTTTCAATTCTATCATGTACACACTTCCGTAATATTGAGTAGAGAAAACAAAATATGAAAATGAAATTTTTATTAACTGCAAAGAATAATAACTCAGATACCTTGATTATGTTTATTCATGAATTTTAGTTAAAGGAATGAGAATAATTGTATTACATCGATCATGATATTAAATATCTATATATTAATGCTTTTAATAATGAAACAATACCTTATTGTTAGATTTAACTTTTATCTTTATTTGAAGTACTTATTATAATAAAAAGGAAATGACTCTTTATAACTGTATCAGTATTTCATTTAAATATATATTTTAAATTTTGTGAAAAAATAACGATATGAATAAAATTGGTAAAGAATTAATTTAAAACTATATTTAGATTTTTATATTATTTTCTGATCGTTATTAAATTATTTATTAATCTGTCTTGTTGAAAATATAAGTCAGAATAATGTCTTTTCAGTTAATTCTATTGAGCAAATACTCGCATTCCAATTCATTGTGTTATATATTCACATGAAATGATCATTAAATGCGTAAAAATAGCAGTAGAAAAATCGAGTATAATATGACCCCCTTATGAGTTGAGTTGGCCTTGTGAAAGAAGATTCAGAAAAGGCAATATGACGGGGAGAAAAAAGAGAGAACACACGATCGTTTTCTTTTTCCATCATTGAGTTTTCGATGCTGTTAGCGAGAGTTTCTATTCTTTAAATGATGATAAGAAAAGAAGAGAAACAGAGAAAACGAAGAATAAGATCAATTGTTTGTTCACATGAGCGATGATCAATCTAGTTGTTATTTTTCTCGATTAAGGATCGTGTTATTTTCTTAGCACCAAAATTAACATATATATATATATATATATATTATCGTATTACTTTTTTTTTATTCTGACTGACAAGTCTTATTAACGATTACATGCATCACTACTACTGATTATTCTCCTGATATTATTATCGATATATGAAATCTTAATAGAAATTACGATTAATCTTCTGTTATGTCAAGTAAGTAGTACGATTACTTATATATGTATATGCGATTCAACACTATGAAAAAAAAGAAGACGTACAAATGAAAATGAGGATTATCAAGTTCATTTCTTTTAGCCAAAAGCTATAACATTGATTCTCAAGGGACATTATTTTGTTTGCATGATTTACAATAAAATACACATGAGAAAATTGAACCTTTAGACTGTAAACAATCTCCTAGTTATATTAAATAGTGTATTATATACCGATGCATTTCAATGTTTAAAAAAGACTTTTAGTAATAATTAATTCATGTCCATTTATTAACTATATAGATAAATAATTATCGATATCTAAACTATATTAATGGAAGTTCTTATTACTGTTGTTGGTGAATTTCTTTGGACTACATCGTAAGTATTACATCCGATTATGTATTATGTGATGATCTCTCTCTCGCTGCTTCATTCTAGATGTGGTGTCGTGAATTTTTGTCTAAGCTCCGGTATAAGTGCATTAGTAGTATTTGTCTCATTTCTCGGTGCTATTCTTGCATCCGCTTTTTATAAATATTCAACCAGCCGCGGGTACATGTTATCTCATCATACTACAACAGCATTACTAGATGATGATGATGATGATGACGATGAATCTGTTAGTACAAGTTTATTGACTATGAAAAACTCTATTAAATCGCCGTCATCATTTCAAAGAACGACAAATTCAATTTATAATAATCCTATAGATTCATTGTCAAACATACATATGCCTATTGATCAAAATACAAGTGACAACGAAGAAGTAATATTCAATAATATGATAGAGGATGATTCTGACGAAGAATTTCAAGTTCAATACATACAAAATAATTATCATTCTCTTAATGATACCAATATGATGACTACAGATTATCTTGATCAATTTAATTCCTATGAATTACAGATAGACAATGAAACTGAATTTGAATCATCTTAGAAATATAGTCATTGTCATGTTATTTTGATATTTGTTGTATATACAATGACGATTATATCGGAAAATTAGATGCATATCTTTAATTTTAATAATTCATCTTTTCATGTTTTGCTAAACTATGTTAGTTGCAAAAGAAGAATAAGAAATAAAAAGCACATACTCCGTATAATAAAAAGGAAGAAGTATGAAAAAAAATTTAAAACAAAAACAGAAAAAAAGAAAGGTATATCATATAATTATAGTATATACTTTAGTTATAGATAGTATAATCAAACACCTCTTATACACAAAGCAAGAAAAGACTACATATATAAAACTAAATATAAATTATCATAGCTTAGTTGTTGATTCTTGTCGATCTAAACAATAATCGAATAATTAAATAAAATATGAAGACAAAAAAAAAAAGCTTACCAAAAAAATTACTGTTTCTAATGTTATTATTTGATGTATGCGTTCCAACATTGATATTATTAATAACTGGTTCTATACGAACAATAGTTGGTAATGTTTGTGATGTAACCGGATATTTTCTATCCTGATACCAACGTAAAGATTTCTTATCAAGTACGAGTAATTCAAGATCATGACGTTCCATATGTAATTGTATTTTATTTAATATTGTTTCATACGTTAATGTTTGAATATCCGTACCATTAACTTCAATAATACGATCACCATTACGTAAACCACAAAGAGCAGCTGATGAATTCTTTTTTATATTAGAAACGTGTACTCGACTAATTCAATATAAATGAGATGTAAGTTGAGAAAAAGAAAATATGATTTCTTACCCAAGTCTTTTTGGATTACCAGTTAGAAAAAAACCACAGAAAGGTGATGAAGGAAGTCTCCGAATATAACAAAGTCGTGCTACAGGTGCATCATTTTTAGATATTTGCGATACTTTAGCATCTGTGTCTTCTAAATATGATCAAATAAACGATAAGATTAATTTTGATTTTGATTTCTATAATAACATGAAAACTTACTCTTAGATGTAATTGATGAACTAGTTTTTGAACGAAAAAGTTTTGGAGAAGCAGTGATACCTAAAGAAAGGAAAAATATTATTATCATTCATAGAAAAAACTACGTGATATTGATTAAACCTGTACTATATGCCGGTATATTTCCATTAATACCATAATCGATTATATTATTCGATTGTTTTTCTTGATCGGGTATATCCGAAGAATTTTTATTTATTATTTGTTGTTTAAGACTACTATCTGGACTATTTCGAGATGAAAGATCCTTATTAATAACACCTTGTGTATGTGTTGTAGTTATTGAATTATTATCAATATTATTGACAAGAATATTTCCACTTTTATTTGTATCATTTGTTGATGCAAAAATATCATTCATATGATTATTGGTAACACACATTTCAATTGTATCTTGAGTTTTTATTGCAGAAAAAAGCATTTGAACTACCTAAATAAAAAGATTATTTATCAAGTATAAAAAAGAAACATACCTGTTCATATGTAATATTTCGTACATCTACACTATCAATTTCGACTAATTCATCATTCACTAGTAAACCAGCAACTTCAGCTGTAGAATTCTATTTATTATGAAAAAAAGACAATTAAAATTCATGTTCTATACATCAACAAACCTTTTCAACGGCGGTGATTGTATGATCATAATCACCTGTAGCACTAAGAACAAAACCTAGACCTTTATTAGGATCGATTTTGAGTAAACATCGACGAGGATCTCTTATATAATCATATAATCCACTAGATCGATTTGAACGAACTGTATGATATAATCGTGACATATGTTGCATTTCTTCAGAAAAATTTCGTATAAAATCATTAGGTGGTACTGATGTTTGTGCTGTAGGAATATCATAATCAACTGAAGAAACAAAAAACAAACGTGTAAAAATACGAGCCCACTATTCTACATGGTTTTGATAGTTTCAATAATGTCATAAATAGTCTAATTAGCAACCTACCTTGTTCATGCAATTTCCCATTATGTAATGAATAGAAAATGCTAACATGCATCTATAGTATATATAATTTAAAATAAAAAACTAATTGAATTTTCCAAAGCTACACTACACGTCGTACTTCATAGTTATAATAATAATGCAAAAAAAAACGTATATGTATTTCAAAGAAATGTTCACATAAGTACATGCAAAAGAAATAGAAATGATCACGAACGTTTGTTTGATTTATCATATCCAATAAATTGAAAAAGATTATTAATTGTATTTGATACAGAATTAACTTTTGATTTATCTGTTAACATCTGATTTTGTTTTCCGTTAAATCCACTAGATGTTCTTTGATTTGTAGAAGAGATATATTTTTGTTGAGATGGATTCATTGATAATGTTGTATCAACAACATCAATTGTTTCTTCGGAAGTAGATGATATGAAATCATCTTTTGTTATAGAACGTTGATGAACTTTATAAGTAGTACCCATCATTGATTGACCGATCATATCTTGTGATGTAACTGGTGTACTTGCAGCTATTGAATCCAAAGTTTCAAAACTTTTTCTTGATTTACTTCTTGGAAAAATATGTTTTACTTTAATGTAAGGTTCTTTGAATTTTTTATGTGTTCTCATACAATATCTATATACTTGTTCGTCAACTACAAGCAATTCTAATCGTCCGTTATATTTAGCTTTTTCAATTGTACGTTTAACTTTATCTATATCTAAACCTTTTGTTTTACGATCATTGACTTTTATTAATAGATCACGTGATTGTAAACCAGCAAGTTCACCTGGTAATTTTGGTTCAACTCGTGAAATCATTGGATATTCATATTTAGGTTCTTTACTTATATCAAAACCGAATGTTGATGCTGGTTGACCATCAGAATTTGTTGTATTTAAATGACAAAGACGTAATGAATATGTTAATTCTTGATTTCGTTGTCCTAAAAATACATATTGATTATTAAATATAGAAATAGTAGAAAAAGTAAGTCAAATATAACTCGCCTTCGATAAACACCATATGTTCTTTTTTTTTGATCAACAAAAGTTCATCTCAATTTTAGATAATATATGAAAGAAATACTAATTCTTATTGTAGCTTGATGAAAATGTAAAACATAAAGGTATTGACTAATCCTCTATTCATTCACTATAGTAATAGTAGTCTTAGGAAACAAAGAAAAGGAAGAATAGATTCATACTATTACAATAGAGTAAAAAAGTAAGTAAAAGTTCTTTTCATATAAAAAAAAACATTGAAGTTTACATAGAATAAGTCTATGGATTAAAATCTGAATATAATCGAAAGTATCTGAAAATCAATTTCTTTTTTTTTTTGATTACATACTTTGATATACTTCTAAAGCATTTACACGATGATGAGTTGGTTCTTCTTCTTTAGTGTTATCAGTTGTAATTCCTACAGCATTATTACTATTGCCACGTAATAGTAATTGATTGTTATGTTTTTCTTCGATGTTTGATATTGGTTGTTGATTAACAACAATTTGTACGATTTTTTGTTGAAGTGCTTGTTTAATTATTTGAATTGTATCATTATAATTTGTATGAATAAGTGGTTTTTTATTAATCGATAAAATTGTATCATTAAGTTGTAAACCAGCTTCTTCTGCTGGTGAATCTTTATCAATATTAGTAATAACAAATGGTGGTTGTTCTTCACCGCTAATTGAAAATCCAGCTGAACGACCTATAAGAGGTTTTAAAATACAAATACGTGTACCAGGTAAAATACAAGATGATAATGCTTCATTTGGTTTATATAATAAATTATTGAAATTAGAATTCAGTTGTTGTTGTTGTCCTAGAAAAAAAAATTATATTAATTTTCTCTAAAAAATATAATTTTAAATTTACCTTGATTTATATCATCTTCAGTGATTTCTGAAAGAATACTTTGCCAATCAATAAAACTTTTTTCTTGATAATTTTTATATCGTTGCATATCATTTATATTCAATAGAATTAAATTGAAACTTTCATTTGAAAGTATTAATGTTTGAACAAGCATTCTAACATTATCATGGGGTATTTGTTCAACATTGTGTTTATTTACATATAATATAACATCATCATTACGTAAACCACAATTATAAGCTGGCATATCAATTTCAACATTATCAATTATATGAAAATTATTTTTATAATGTAATGTAAAACCTACGGAATTATTAATTGATTCTTGTTTGAAAACACAATGTTTCATATAAACTGGACCAGTATCATCAATAAATAAAACATTAATTAAATCTTCTGAAAGTAAATTTGATGATTGCCGTTCGATAGGTTCATAATTTGATGATGATGAAGATGATGATAATGATGGCAACGTAATTCGATTTTGATCTCGTTTGATATTTTCAATTAATTCTAAATATTTTGGATCATTTTTAACTGTTAAATGTACGGGTGATTTTTTTACTAATCTATGTCGAACATTTTTATGATTAATTTTTGTAACATCAATATTATTAACAGTTAATATACGATCACCATTACGTAAACCAGCTTTATGTGCTGTTGATAATGGTCGAACATTATTTATTGAATGTATTATAATTTGACTATTTTTATCAGGTGTAAATGAATAAAAATCTAATCCTAAAGCTTCTTTTAATATAATATGACGAATTTTCTCATCTGTATCATCATTTTGTTTTGATTGATTTGCATCTTTATGTTCTTCAATTTTATTTGATAAACCAACTGATAATAAAAAATTTAATTCATTAGGTTTATCATATGCTGCTATTGCAGATGCTCGTGGATCATCAAATATTGTTGATAATCTTGTTGATTTATTTCGTGCAATAAGTACATTAATAGAACCGACAGTATTTAATGTTTCATAGATTTTTTGAGAAACATCAGAAAATTCATTTAAACGTATATCAACATCTTCAATTTTAATTAACCAATCATCCATATGAAGACCAGCTATATCAGCTTTTGATTGTTGATCTATAGCTGAAACAACACATTGTAATGAATCTGTTTGTTTACTTAATTTAAAACCAAGTGGAACTGTTTCAGTTGGTTGCATTAATTTTATATTATGTAATTCATAACCATAATCAGGTAATTCTGATATTGGTGTTGTAACTAAAAATAAAATAATAAAATATCAACAAAGTAAAAATCTATGCAGAGTTAGAGAGCATTATATTTATTAGTTTATAGAGCACATATATATGTAATATTCAAGTTATATGCCTCACCAAGTGCCATTTCTATAGATGGTTTAGAAGTAACTAAATCGTTTTCAGCTTTTTCTCCTTCGTCCGCAGAATTTGTAGATATATTTGAAATCGATTGATTATCTTCATTAGGAAATGATTCATTTGAATTTTCTTCTATTTCATTTGTATTTGATATATGAAATGTATCAACGATATATTCTTCTTCTACTTGTATTTTAACTTTAGTATATTCCGAATTTACAATTTCTAGATCAGAATCGGAACTTTTCGATTTAATAGATTCGCTTTTATCATGTTCAATACTATGATTTAATTTCTTTTCTATATCATTAGATATATTTTCCGTTGATATAGGTGTTTCTATTGGCTTGAAATGTAATTCTTCATTTTTGTCATCTTCTAATTTATTATTGATATTTTGTGAAGTGTCAGTAACAACTGAATGAATTTGTTCTGCATCATCATATATATCTGATGTTGTAGATGAAAAATCTTCATCAACATCGATATTATTCAATATAGTTCGAGATTTGTTAATCTTCTTAGATTCGTTCAAAATATTCATTTCTTTCCTATAACTCCTTTATATTAATTTTTTGTTTTTGGTTTAAATAATATTTATTCTATTCATAAGTAAGAATAAAATTCTCAAAAAACAAAAACTTACTTAGATGAAGATTAGATTGAGAAAATCGAGAATTATCTAAAAAAATAAATGAATATGTTATCCAATCATTTATCATAATAATATCTATTCTCAAATAAATTTTCTAACACTTTGATGAATAATGACAGTGTGAATATATCTTTAAATTAGTAGTTTTTTAAATTAATAGCAATGATTAGTACTTTTGTTTTTAATTAGTAGAATTTTAGTTGATTCCTTTATTAAAAAGCGAGAAACCTGCTTATTCTATATGTGCCAATCTAGAAATAATCTCGAAGAGAAATACAAACAATCGACAAACCTTGTTCGTAAATAGGCCATGTGGATAATGATTGAACAGTTGTTGGATTTAAAATATTTTGAATTGTTTGATTATTTTTGGCTGATGATGAATGATTAGTAACAGTATTATTATTTCTTATTGTTAATTTTGGACTGTGTACTTGTTTTTTTAAATTTTTATGTTGTTTGAAAGACGATGATAATCGTTGGATTTTAGGACTGTCATCTCCCGAAGAATTAAAAGTTGATACACTCGTTAGAATTCGACGTGTTTGTTGTGTTGGTGATGGATTCGTCATACCAACTTGTAAGAAATTAAAAGGTGTTTGCAACGAATTATTCTCTTTTTTTTCTTCATTTAGAACTATAAAAAGAAATGTTGTCATTATTTTATAAAATAATTTTTTAAATATAACCTGGTTTTCGTCCACCATCTAAATCAGCATTAATTGATGCATAATCCAATGTTTTTTCACTTTTAAGACTCCAGGAAAATCGAAGTGCTGTAGCTGCTCCAACACCTTTATGAACATTTCCATGTTTCTTTTTATGTTTTGCTGTATATCGATTCGTATATATTTGTAATGAAAGACGATCATATTGTTCATCTGTTATTGTTAATATTGTTTCTCGTTGTTGATTTTGTTCTGATTGTTCATTACTACATGTACGATGGATATGTTCCACTGTTTGTGTAGCTGGAAGAGTTGATGATTTTGTTCGTTCAAGTGTATTTAATGGTGAATTTAATTCACTATCAAGATTCGATATTAAATTTGTTTGTAATGTTTGAATTAGATAAGCTTTTTTTGCAATAAGAAAATTAAGTACTTTATCATGACGTTTTTTCTTAAGAAAATATAAAACATCTTCAAAAGGTAAATGAAGTAATGATGTATCATTAACTGCTATAATATGATCATTTCGTTGCATACCGGCACGAGCAGCTGGAGAATAAGATTCAACATCTCTAATAATATGACCAAAATCTGTATCTGGTTCTAATGTAATTCCAATTGAATCAATATTTGGTTGAAGAGTTACAGTACACATACGTAATTCTGATTCACAACAAGTATCAGCATCTAAATATAGATATCACATTGAAATTCAATTTAATTAAAATTAATATTGATATATAATAAGCTACATACCCATATCATCAGATGGTAATTTTTCAGTATCATCAAATTTATCACGAGATACATTTTGTGTTTCTGTTTGCGATTGATTGTGTAGAAGTTCATTTGGAGTTTCAATAAATTGTGATGCTTCTATTCGAATACAATTCTCATTATTTTCATCAATATTTATTTGATAACGTTGAACGAATTCAGCACTTTTTGAATCAAGAACTAAAAAACGGATTCGATCTTGCTCAAGTGCATATTCAATACATGAAAGTATAACATAAAAATCATCATTTCCAGTCGAATGACCATTAACAGCAAGAACAATATCTTCAGATAAAAGTCCTCCACTTTCAGCTGGACTATTAGGTTCAATACTATCAATACGTAAACCAAGTGGATGCTTATTACGATTTAAAAGAATTCCATAACCTAAAATATCATAGAATTTAATTTTAATTTTATGTTAAATATATTTTTTTTTAATACCATCATAATGAGGCCATTTATATAATATACATAAACGTGGAATAATATTTGATAGTTGTATATCATCAGAATCAATTGATTGATTTGTATCGCTGGACTGCATGCGTAAATTTAATCGGAGGGTATTTTTAGTAAGTTATCACTAGACTAATAGATAAATAAATTAATAATGTGAATATAAAAAAAAAATACATCGATTTTTATTTCACTTATACATTCTATTTTGACTCATATAAAAATAAACATTTAACATAATAATTATGTATGTTTACATACTATTTCTCTATCTGTCTATCTATAGGGATTACATTGATCTCATAAAATGCTACTTTCTTTTAAAAAAAGTATATAGAATTAAGATATTTAATCATATGATATGTAACATTTTAGAGAAAATGTAGATATGATTCATTAAAAAATGCTATGATTGTAAATGATGTTTCGTAGAAAAAAAAAGTAGCAACTAACCCACTTAAATGACACTCAGAAATATTATTTATGAATTTCTTAACCAAGGTCTGTTTGCACTATACGACATTGTAGTACAAGCTCTATATAATACCAAAATTATAAGAGGACAATAAAGACTAGTAAAATCTTCTAAATTATTCGAAGATTTTAATTTAGAACCAATGTTTGCAAAGTTTATAGATGTTATCTGTAATAATACCGATGAGTAATTTTTTTAGTACATGTTGACATTAACTCAATTATACGAAAGTACTTTTTATGCGAACTTTGAGTTCGTAACTAGAAAGTATGGGTACTTGTTTGTTTGAATCTTGATTTTATAAAAGATTTTAATTTAAAATCGAATGATAAAATGTTTTTTTTTATTATAGTTTATTTAAGTTGCTATTAATATATACTCACGTTTTATTAGTCCTCGATTCAATCATGTGTAGTTCGAATCGTTTGATACGAAGAATAAAAAAGAATCATAAGACGATACGCACTAATAGTCTCCTCTTGTTTTTTTTCTTCTTTACCAGGTATATACAAGGTTGTTTACTAAAATTATATTACTGTTTTTGCGTGGTTAGTTTTCTCTTATAGATCTTTTTCTCATCATATTTTAGGAAATAGACAAATAACAAATCCTACAGAAGTCAACGTATCGAATAGCAGTATACAGTAGAAGATTCCGGCGCTTTCTTAAAGAATTAAGTATCAGTAGTCACGTTTTTACAAAAAAAAGACTGATTATCTGACAAGCAAGAATGTCAGTGATATTTCAAACAATATCTCCATATTTCTGTGTTTTTTTATGATAGAATAAGCAAAAAATACATAGTAATTTTATGTAGTTTATGTCTTTTACTTTTTTTGAATACAAAAGAATAGAATAAATACTTTTCTTTTTTCGTTAATGAATGTATTTTTGATATGCGAATGAATAATGTGTACATGTCAAGCTTGCAATGATGGTAAAAGAGAAGAAGATAACAATGAAAGAACGATATGTGATAAAAAAATTTCATGGAATGAAAAGAAAATAATTCCATATGTTTGATTTATTTTTGGTTTTATAAATAATATTATTACTATATGGTAAAGAAACTGTTGTTGATGTCAACGTTAAATTAGATGCAACATACAATAAAAATCTTGTACTAATGATAGTGACTATCTTTGTGTGCTTTTCAGTGATCGAAAGAAAAGTTTTCGAAGCATCTTTCACTTTGATTTCATATAGGACGATATCATTTTCATGAAGTATCGGCCAGCAACTCTGACATTAACAATCAGTTGAAACAAATGATAAATTTCTATTAATAGTTTTTTCGATGATTGTATTGGATAGCAATGATCTATTGTAATTTTTTATTATATGATTACATTCAATTTGAATTTAGTATTTATAAATAAATATTTTTTAAACGGTTACAAGAGAGTGCAGAGAATATTTTATTGACAAAGATAAATAATATGTGAAGACAAAAATAAACCTGTATCATTCAGATTTTGAAGTTAATTTTAACAATGATTAATAGGATATGAGCCATTTTCTTCAAGAAAAAACATATCGTTTACATATCTACCGTACAGACATCGGCTACAATCCAATCATTGATAGCTATTTTATTGTTATCAAGTACTATACAAAGAATTTAATTAACTACAATTCGGTTCTGGTATTTATAAAGTAAGAATAGTCAGTTATTCAAACGAAACATATAAATCATTTCTTAGATATTACTTATTTCTTTATTTATGAAAGTGAATGTCTAATAAGAAGTATAAAAAAAGACAATAATTTTTTGACGACATTACGATTTAACTGTATATTTAATTCAAAACTAATATATAACTTAACAGTTAGCTTCATCCTTTAATTCTCAAAATTTATACGGTAGTACTTAAATAGGTTTCTTCTCTAAAAAGAAAGTTATCTTGAAGGTAAAATAGAATTTGCATTCAAAAAAATGACTTATTCTACTTCACAAAATATGATTTATAGTTGAAAAACAAGTCTTTATTTTATAATTAATTCATATTAAAGTTTGACACCTTTACATGCTTCTTGAATACGTCGAGTATCATCTGTAAAACCAGGTTTTGAATCAGATGCATCATCAAGTGTACCTGCTTCACCATGAGGTCCATAACGTAAATTTTCTTTACGTAAACCAGTAGCAAGACATTTAACTTCTGCAACTTTTTCACCTTCTTCTACATAAAGAAAAAACATTTATATGATATATTTTGTTTTTGAATATTATCATCAAACTTACTAGTAAGACAAATATTATTACAAACTAATTTTTTTCCAGTTTTATCCATAATAAAAAATTTCAAATGTTTACCAGCATTTGCTGTTGTAAATTTTAATGATTTCGATGGGTCTGGAAGTTGTTCATAAGAACTCTTGATAGCTAATTTAATATTACATTGTTTAGCAATATTATCAATAATTTTCAATGTTGGAACAAATTCTTTATGAATATGAATAATATCACCCACTAAATTTTTTCCTTTACCCTTAACAATCATACATTTTTCTAAATAAAACATTGTAAATAAATAAATTTACTTGAATTATAATTTACCTTTCTTAGGTGCTTTGGTTGGCTTATCCTTCGTAGTTGTACCATTGCTTTTATGAAAAAGTAAACCTTCAATTGCAAGTACACATACAACAACAAGTAATAATACGATATAAATTGATTTCATCGTTAAATGATTTAAATGAAAATATTTCTTATTCTTCTTCTGTTTGTATAGATTGATGTTTATCTTTATCAAATACTTGCTTGAACGGCAAGATAAGCCTAGATTTTTATTCTATTCACTTCAATTGAATTAGAAAAGAAACTGATAGTATCGAAAAACGAATCAACTACGGTGTATTGTATTATCGAATGCACGGTGGAATATTTTGATCAACAATTTTGTACTAAACTGAGTATTCATCTGTTTTATTAAATTTTCCTGATTTCAATTCATTTTGTACGGTTGTAATTGGTAATTATCTAGTTTTACTAATCACTACGGCGAGAAAATGGGTAAAACTAGTTAATTATTTTAATAAAAATATTCTCTATATCGATTTTACATTCAAGTGTTTTGAAAAAAATCATGTATTGCGATGGAGTCCATTTTCGGAAATAATGTTTCTCTCACCTATCAAACTTATCTTATATTATACTCGTTGTAATATTTCTAATTTTCATCGTAATAGATTGAACATGATATTTATAAAGCATTTATTGTAAATTGATTAATATTTTTAAAAAAATAAAATTATATGTTCTTTTTTAATTCTTATTGTATATATGCGACTGCTTGTTTTTATTTATTGATGATAAAGAAAAAACGGCAAAGAAAAACATTTATCGTTAGAAAACGAAAAAAAAGCGAGGTTAATAGACATAATGAATGTTATCTATGTCCAATACTCGTCTCCTTTATTAAAATATTTATTTTTTCTTTGGTTGTGCTTGTTGAGGTTGTTGTTGTTTTTGTGCTGGTTCTTGTTTCTTCTCTGGTTGTTTTTGTACTGTTTCTTGTTTCTTCTCTGGTTGTTTTTTATCTTGTTGTTTCTTTTCTTTATTTGGTGCTTGCGATGCTGGTGCAACAACAGCTGGTTGAGCTTGTTGTTCGATAGCTTGTTGTACAGCTACATTTGTATCATCATCTTCATTAGTTTTACCCAAAAGTTCAGTACGTTTTTGAGCAATACGTTGTTCACGTCGAACACGTTTTTCCTTTGTACGTTCACGACGAGCAACAGCTTGATCAGATAACATTTTCGTACGTTGAACTTCAGCTTTCTTCTTATGAATGAATTCCATCAAGACACGTTTGTTTTTAAAAACGTTACCTTTACATTTCAAGTAAAGTTCATGGTATCTAACATTAAATTAATTTAGTTTTATTTTCTTCATTTTTAAATGTATAACTTACAAATGACGATCAATTTTTTTTGCAGCACGGTATTTTTTCAATAAACGACGTAATACACGCATACGACGAATCCAAAGTATCTGAATTTAAGCGAAATCATAAAATCGGATGGAGAAAATTGAAACTCTTTGAAACATACCTTGGTTGGCATACGTGCGTTGGCTGTACCTTTTCGTTTACCATGGCCCATATGTCGACCTTTACGACGAGCTTCATTATTCTTACGTGTACGGAAACGTGAATGTACTGCTACTGGTTTTTTGATGATTAAACCATCTTTAATTAATTTGCGTACACTTTGACCTAAATAATAATAATAATAATAAGAAAAAGAATTCATATAATAATTTTTGTTCAATATATTTGTTATTTATCAATTCAATATAAAAATCAATAAAAAAATAAGACAAATGAAATTTAAAGTTAATATCCCCTTCGTGTGTATCGATTAATGTTATATGTAAAATAATATTTTACATCAAAAATCGATGATTGTTGAAGGGCAAAAAATAAAATAAAATTTTGTTGAAAAAAATAACTTACGAGTGTTGGCATTAGCGATTTCATTAGCTTCATTTGGATCAAGCCAAATTTTTTTATTACCACATCGTAATATGGCTGAAGCGAGCCGCTTTTGTACTCGGAGCGAACTAATATAAGTAAAAGATGAAATAGAATTTATTCAATGAATTTATCATTATATTTTACCTCATTTTTTTTTCAAAACGATGATTCTAATATGTGTTTTTTCACGAAAAGCACCAATTTCGCAATTTTGAACAGGGTCGTGACACAATATTTATCCAAAAAATTTCATTGGTCGGGCATTATCGTATTTGATGGATTGTTGTAAATGAGGAGGATTTAAACAAGTAATAGTATTTTAAATTTTCTCTAAATATTTAAATCACTTTATTTATACTTATCAAAATTTAATAGACAGTTATCATTCAAAATAAATAAATAAAGTTTTATTTATTAGAAAATTTCTCATTGGCTAAAAATTTAACATTCATCAAGCAATAGCATGATACTCTTTGACTCATTAAAAAAACATGAAAATACTGAAATATACTGTATATCGATGAAAAACTGGAGTCTTTTTATGTAAAAGAAAGTAATATTTAATATTCTCTATTAAAAAAAAATAGCTGATTTGAATAATTAGAAATTAAAGTGAATTTTGTCTTATCGTTTTATGTAAAAATAGTTGTGTTATAAATCTTTCAATTCTGATGAGTTTTAAAAAATACTAAAGTAGAACTGCATTTCATCTCCTACAACAATGTTTCAATTGTATCAAAGTGTTGTTCTTACAAATATTGCTTCTGAGAACAATAGATATCGTTCGCTATCTTTATTGATGATACATTTGTCTAAAGAAATAATTTTTATATGAATGATGATCTCATTTTTGTTTAACGAATTTATTTTTGTTACTAGTTTTCACAGAAAAACAAAACAGACAGAAAAATATATCACACATTTTCTTCCGATGATGAATCTGCATCTGATTTTGTCTAAAAAGAAAAAGATCATGATAAACAAAACTAACTTATTTTGAAAATAAATCTTACTTGTTTTTTATTTTGTGTAGAATCTATTTCATCACTTGAACGTTTTTTCTTTGTTACTGCTTTTCCTAATGGTCCCCATCGTGCATGTGGATTACCAAGAAAACGAATTAATTTATTTTTTCGAGCTTCTGATTCCCAATCAGGATGTTCAGTAAAATCAACTTTAATTGTTGATGGTTTTGTTAAAAGACGATAATAAGGTGTCTCAGTATTCAATCGTTCTGTTGCTGCACGTTTTGTTGGCGATTGTTCACCAAATGCACGCATTATATCCCAAATAACAGCATGTGGTGCATTTGTTTTTATGGCATCTTGACGAGCATGAGTTGTTGATACTTTATAACCAGCATTTAATAAAGCTGATCTAAGAAACAAAAATTATAAGAATTTTATTTTAAATAAATACAAATAAAAATTACCTTAAAATTTTATTTTGTGGCATTTGTGTATGCATAATCTGAGCAAGTTTTCCATTATCAAAATATAATGGGTCAGGTAATTCTTCTTGAACAACATGTAACATACTTAACATTCGCTCTCGATAAGCATAACTAAATATATTAAAAAGAAGTTTTTAATAGAACTCTTCTTCTTTTTTCTCAATTACCTATCTTCCGGTGCTTGTTCGATGGATGTAATTAATTCTCCAACAAATGAATGATCAAATAATGGTCCAAGCCATATTGGACCACCTACCCGAAGACTAAATTTTTGTATAAATAAAATAAATAAAAAAAAATGTTTTCAAAGAATTTTACTTCGATCCACAATGTGAACAAGTTGTACCAACTGGTGGTCCATGTGCATATTTAAATTTTGCATTACCTCGTTCATCAAGTGATGCTTGTCCATAAGGTTGAAAATAAAATGAAGTACAATAAATACAATTGTAAACAGTTGCAATGTCACCTATAAAATATTTATATTTTAAATAAATTCAAATATTCAATCTATATTTCAAACCTAATTGACTCTGAGCTTTAGCAGCTCCATAATTAATACGTACAAAAAGACGTACATAAAAATCAATGGACATACATAATAACGGTTCAATTATTCGATCATAACGAGCAGCTTGTAAATGTAATGTATAAAGTATCATACGTAATGCAAATTCATGACAAAATGGTTGATGTAAAGGTATTGAACCATATTTTGAATAACAACTTTATACAAAAACAAAACAAATTATTTTAAAAAAAGAAAAAAATCATTTGCTTTTATCAGTTACCTATGAGGATTATTTCCACATAATGATGCCATATCAGTTGCTAAATACAAAATAAAAATATAATAAATTATAAAAATATTTTGTCTTTGTGTTACCTGTAATACAAATAACACCATTCTTTTTTATACATTGCACTGCTCCATCTGTATAATGAAAACTGGATAAGTTTATTTAAATTTATACAAGAAAAAAAATTTAAAGAATACTATTTACCAAGAAATTGTGCTGGTGTACCATAAGGATCTAAATCGACAACATGAAATTGTTCGTCAATTTTTCGATGATTATATAATAAACTCATAGCATCATCATGACTCGGTTGAACAAGATTTTTAACATCATTTAATTCAATATTTTGTTTTATTGATTCAACTGCTCCGGCATCAATATCATTCGCATAGATTGTATCAATACCTTTAATTATAATACATATAGATCGCATTAATAGATATCATATTTGATATATATACCTGGTATTTCACGTGCATATCGAACAGATCGAAGTCCTGTGGCTGATAACGCTTCAGCAATTTTTAAACCATTTTCTTGTCGTACACCAGCAGTTAATTGATCAAATGGAACACAAGTTGCATTTGGATCATTCTTTAACATTCTTTTACATTCATTTTCATGATGATATTTTGAAACAAGTCGAAGACAAGCTACACTTAAATCACGATTAAATACTTGAGCTGGATTATAAAAAACAGCACCCTCAGGTAAACGAATATTCGCTTTGCCTTCTTTTACTTGAACACTATCAGTCATAATTGTTGAAAGTGAATAATCTTCGTCGTTAATATTAAGATTTGATAATCTACGATTAAGAATTGATGTTCGTATCAAGAAATAATCAACACGTATACGTGATAAAATAAAGATCATAGATATCAAAAAAAAAAAACTTTTCTACAGAAAAAAATACTCAAGAAATAAAATTTAAAAAAAATTTTTATATATATAGTTTTTTTACCAACTGATTTTAATTTGTAATAAAAGTAATCATATGATGTTCTATAACTTTTTTGAAGAAGAGAAATTCTATCTTAAATAAGACATATATGTCTCTATTTCATATTAATAAATATTTTAAACAAAAGATAATGAAACGTCAAACGACGGAAAGTTTTATTTAACATCGTTTTTGTCAATAATATCAATGAAAACATATAATAAATAGTGTTTTTTTTCTAACAAATATCAAGAGTATTATTATAAATCAACAGAAGAGGACGATTATCACGATGCATTATTAGTTGTTAATGGAACTTTTAAATTAGTAATTAATTCAAGAATTGTTGGATATAATGAACATTCATCTTAAGAAGAAGAAAAACATTAATAATACGAAATTAAAGAATAATATTTATACTTTTATTAATTGTTTCTTTGATTGTGTTTAAAATTTTTGTTATTGCTTGATATTTAGATTCATTTCCCACAGATGTTTGTTTATATGAACCATCCCATAAAGTTGTTTGATTTTTATTTATATCATACATTAATGAAACAATAAATGTTGAAGTATTATTACTATTATTTTGAATTTCACTTTGATTTATTCGAGAAATAAATTGAAACTAAATTAAATGTTGATTTTTGTTTTTCATGAATGTAATAGGAATAAATAAATTCTTACCATAAAAAGAAATGATGATTGTCTAGAGTGATAATAAATTGCCGGTTGACCAGCTTGATTAAAACCATTACCCGGTGGAATTGTTAAACACCAACGTGCACGCCATAGATGATGACTTTCAGGATTCTAAATAATACAGAAACAAAAAACGATTTTCATGTAGAGATTTAGCTACTATGACAAGTTTCTCTCTCTATATATATAATCATTTATAATTGAATAATTACCTGAGCAAGTGCAATAATTTGAACTAAGTCTTTTAATATTCGAGGACGGGTTATCGAAAGCATTCGTTCAAATGAACCCATAGCTGTATTTAAATTTTGAGATGCTTGTAATGATAATATATCAATTGATGGCGTAGTTGAATTCGTTAATGGTGATATTGGAAAAAAATTTTCATTAAAAAATTTATCCATTATTTGAATTTCATCTGGTGACCAAAATATATTTGATTGTTGTTGTTGTGATGGATCAAATAATGAAGTAAAATTAATTCGATAAATTCCTGTCGGAATATCAAATGTAAATACTATTTGAAGAGATAAATGATCTAGTCGATATGTATCTAATTCATTTGGTACAGATCGTACCTAAAATAATATTTTGTATAAACTCAATAGAAAAGAAATAATAATTTTATTTTTACAGTTATATTATTTGCATCAAAAGGTTCAGTAACAGCTTTAGCAAATTGTCGTATAAGAATAGATGATGCAAGAAATGATTCAAATTTTGACCATTGATGTCGATTAGGTGTATAAAGCATTCGAAAAAATGTTTGTTGACTCATATATACAGGATAATTCGTTTTTGTTAATAATTCATGATTATAAGTATATAAAATTGGTGATTGTTGATCATCTAAAAACAAATGAATTTAATTAAAATTTGTAAAATCCTATTGAATCTAACCAGTGTGATCTGTTCGAGTGTTTGAAGTAGTAATAGGTAATGTTTCTCGGAGCATAACATCTAAATAAAATAAATCGTTTTTAATAATTAGAAATTTAGTTTACAAAGAAAAATAATCAACCATAAATATCACTCGGTGATAGAACAGGTGGTTCTGTTGTTGTATCCATCAATGAATCATGTAATGTGGAATTATTTGTTGTATGATTGAATAAATTTGAAGATGAATGAGATATTTCCATTTCTGGTAAAATAAAATCTTGTTTATGAAAATTGTCAGTTATATCAGAAAATTCAAATGTTAAACCACGATCATCAGCATATGTAGATAGAAATTCCTATATGATGAGAAAGAATAATAATTTCATATAAATTTATTAAATAAAAATTTTTACCTTAAGTCGAGGTATTGGTGAAAGCTCAGGTAATGAACTATTTAATTGTACACTAAATGAACCATCACGAACAAGTATTAAATTAGGACCACATATTTGTATATCAAGTGCAAATATTTGACCAAATATAAGACGCCATCGAGATTCAGTATATGGAACAAATGTTAGAATCGGTTGAGGACAACCACACTGAGAATTAATCTTTGTTAAAAAAAAACTGTCTATATCGATACTTTATATAAATTGATTAATTTACCTGATAAACAAAGACAATTGGTCGATTAAAACAATCTAATCGAGCAATTGAAGATATTGGAATTGCTGTCATATATAACAACTATATAAAAAAAAATCAATCTTATTATTTATTCTAATTGAAGATTGTTTTTCTAATATCTTACTCGTATAAATTGTCTTAATGAATGTGTTTGATTTAAAAATAATGTTAATTTTCTATTTAATATATGATGATATGTTGTTAAAAATGTGTCTTTCATTGTTGAAAAACGTATATCAAATGTTCTTTCATTATTTGAATTTAATTCTTGTTGAATTTGATTATTTTTTGATGTTAATGTTACCTAAAGAAAAATATTTTGAATAAAAAAAATTTCTTATGTATGTATACGAACAGAAAAAGCAAAATCTGGTCCGTAATGAATTATACATTTAAAAAAATTAAATAAAATTAATTTTGAAACTGCATGAAGATCAATTGATTCTAAAATGAGAAACGATTTTTTTTGAATTAAAATAAATTTAATCTTTTTCTTTTTATTAACCTAATAGAGATGATGAATAATTTTCAAATAAATGTGTTAATTCAAATGCCGTTCGAAGTTCATTAAGAATAAAATCAACAACTTTTGAATAAGGTTTTGTCGATAGTTGAGTATAAACAACAACAGAATAATATGGAGCTAATTTTAAAATAAACAGTCATTTATTATAAGTAAAATTTAGGAACATACTTTTAATAAAAGCATTATGAAAATAATTATTATTAAATAAATTTAACTAAAAGAAAAATATTATATAATAGATTTTGTTTTTGTATAAAAAATTTTTACATCAGTAATCCATTGTCGTCCTATAGGTTTATGTTCACGATTTGAATCACGTAAAGTATAAGTTAATCGAATAGTACACGATTGAATACGAGGCCAAAAATAATCATTTATATAATCGACAAGTTCATTACTTAGCGAATATGATTCATCATCAGTTGATGTTCTATTCAAATGATATTATTATTATTGAAAAATATTCATTGAAAACTTACCGAACAATATCAAGATATGGAATACCGGTCCATGTACAATAGAGTATACTTTTACAAATTGTTTTTTTACGTTGAAACTAAATAGAAAAAATAAACTCAAATTAATTAATTTTCAAATTATAGGTTTAATGTATACTACGATATTAGAAGATGAATACGTCAAACTGAATTAACTTTTTTGGAGATCACAATGCTTATACTAGATAAAATGTTTTAGGCTTTTCGAAAGTTTGATGATACCTATTCGATTTATTGTTTTCTTTCTCGTAGAGAAGAGTCTTAGAAACATAAATTGTTTGCTTGCTTGCTTGTGTGTTCGCAGGGTCAAAAAAACATCGAAAATCAATTTTTCACGGTTTTCATTTTTTTTCCCGTAAATATGAAGAAAATCAATTTCTACGAGAAAGAGCTAAGCGAGTCCTCAGACGAGCGTTACTTGTCATTATTAAAAATACTAACGAAAAATCAATTTATATATTTCGTTTTCACTAATACGGTTTTGAACAACTGTATTTTTAGATATGATCAGAAACATAGCTAATCGATATAAGACAAAATTTTAAAAAGATTTCTTATATGCTACGAAGTCTTTAGTACTTTGATAAATTTGTAACCTCCACTAAGAATTAATTACAATACTTACATCATCTTTTAAAAATATCAATGAAAGCATTTCATCATAATAATTAACGAATTTGACTAGTGATTTAAGTGATACAATTGACATCTAAATATTCACGTAAAAAAATATCTTAATTAATTTTTACAAATCTTATCATACTGAATGAGCTTGTCTAATTTTATTCTCATCGTCATCATTATCATCATTATCATTATCATTATTTTCTATTATTTTATTATATTGAAACGTACTTTTAAACTAAAAGAAGAAAATATATAATAAATTATTTTTTTTTCAAAAGAAATTTCATAAATAACAAACTTGAAATAATTCTTTTCTTAAAAATGTTGTTGGATCTAATGGACATAATACAAGTGGTTCTAATATCCATTTAGCACCTTCATCATTTGTCGTTGTTGCTGGTGTTGTCGTCGTCGTCGTCGTCGTCGTCGTTGCTGTTGTTGTTGTTGCTGCTGTTGTTGTAGTCGCTGCTGTTGTTGCAGTTGCTGCTGCTGTTGTCGTTGTTTGTTGATTAGATGTTTGTTGTTGAACTAGTAATTCATGTGTTGAGTAACGTTTTTCCACAATTAATAAATAATATTGAATTAATAATTGATTTACATCAGATATATGAACAATCTTTAAATATAAAAAATTTAAGAAAAAATTATTAAATAAAATTTCTCTACTTACAATAAAGAATCCTTCATTATGAATTAATTCAATATAAATACTATTATTATTAAATGGAACAAGTAATTCATTCTTGAGATTCAGTGATGGTATACGTGTATGTATACGACAATTTAGATGAGCTAAAAGTGATGGAATACGTTGTTGAATTAACCAAATTCTAAAAAGAATTATATTTTTTTAAAGAAAAATTAAATTATTTCTTTAACTTGAATAGGTTAATTGATTCAATCAAATTTGTTTGATCACGATTAAGTGCATTTTCAATTTGTTGTGAATAACGAGTTTCTAAAAACGAAAAGATAATTTAAATGAAAATAATAATAGAAAAAAAATTCATACCCATATAAGAAACCACTTTGAATAAACCCGAAAATGGACTAATTGATATAAATAAGATTTCTTCTGATGTACTATCAGGTAAAAATCCACATTTTAACGCAGGTATTATAGAATCAATTTCAACTAGAAAATAAAATCGAATCTCTAAAAAAAAAATATTTATTTATCAATCAATACTATTTGCTATAGTTGTTAATAAGATTGTTTCTTTTAATTCCTAAATAAAGAATATGCTATCTAAATAGAATAGTGAATAAATAATTAACAAACTTCAAATCGACGTTGACAACGTGCATAAATTGTTCGATTTAAAATTTCTTCCATTGTAAATATGGGTTTCTAAAAGTATAAGAATTAGTAACACTTTCAGATCGATAGTTTTAGTTGTCTTATAAATGTTTCATATATATATTCAAAGTTCGGAAGGGAACATTTTCTTGAATTTCCAAAGAACTGCTGTAAAATCCTTCTACAGTGGATATACTCGAAAAGACACTTTCTCAAGACTTTTAGAAGAGTGTTATCTGATGATAGTATCATTCTTACTTCTAAAATTTGTAAAATTGCAACACTATCATCAATAGGTAAAGGAGGCCAATGTTGTATCTGAAATTTGCCATTTTCATCACATAGAATTGTCATACCGATATCTATAAATGATAAATATATCCAAATCTTCTTCAAAAATAAATAAATTCTTTTTCTATACCTATATTTTTTCCATGAATAACTTGTTTTTTTGATTGATTACTATTAATATTGTTATTGATACTCGTACTATATTCTTTCCAATATTCAATATTAAAACTTTTACATGAAGTATAACCAGATATATGTAAATCTTTTTGTTTTGCACCTTGATTACGTATTCGATGAGCCTTGAACACATGAATTAATTTTTTCAAAAACTATACTCTACGTATACTATTTACTTGTTCAAATAGAACTTGTAAACGTAATGATTGACAAAAATAATCTATTTAAAATAAAGAAGAAAGTAAGATAATTAATAAAAATAAATAATAAATACATACGTAAATATCGATAAAGATCTACTAATGGTTTTTCAGCATCATTCAGCCAACTTTGAATAAAATTTGTTATTGTTTGCATCTATACACATATATATTTAATTTAAATTATTTTTGCGATTAAATATTTCAATTTACCTGCAGTGGATGAATAAGATCATGTTCTTTAAAATATAAAAAGAATATGAAAATATATAAGATTATTCAATAGTTCGTATTCACAAAAATCTTATTTCATCAAATATGTAAAATATTTGTCTCTCCTTCCTTACACAGACTACTATCCTAGGGCATCAGAATAAATACTCTTAATATTTGATGAAATAATATTTTTGAATCATTTATATATAATAAACTTCACAGAATATTAGTGTAATTATTTACCCGGTTCTTCTGGATCTCGTAAAAATAGTTTTGTTTGATATACATGCCATGGAGATGATAAATTATCATTGGTAATTCCTAATCTGACTTCAAATTCTCCATCAACTGCTAATATTACAATTCCATTTTCTATCAAAATAGAATTACATATACAATGAATACATATATATATAAATTATTTTCTACACACTAATTGTTACGTCAGTAAATTGAATCGGTAAGTCTGAAGTTGATACTCTTGCTATTAGAATTTGTTGTAGGCGTGGTAGAATTTTTTGACGTTCATTTTCAGTTGCTGGTGTATCATTTGTTGCTACTTCTGCTATACGTTTTGGTAGAAAATTAACTGAACCAAGTGTTAATGCATCAATAGCATCAGTTACTGGAAAGTTAGGCACTCGAGCACCAATTAATTTTTCACGTGATAATTGAGCTAATGAATCAGATGTTTGACGTATTAATCTAGCACGAATTTCAAGGAAATTTTGTATATCCTTTACAAAATAGAAATAAAACAAAAGTTTTCTCTATGAAGTCTTTCTGAAAAAAAAAAGATATTTACTTCACATGCTGTTACTCTTCCCGTTGTTGATGTCCATTTAACAACTGCTAAAATACGTATAAATAATTGTCGAGCACGACATGCAAATTTAATTAATTCAATTTTTCTAATAAAAAGAAACAATTCAATATATATATTTTTTATCAGAAATTATCGTTGTACCGTTCTAAATTCGTTTGACTATGTAAACTAAATAATAAAAATAAAATTGGTTTATATATAAATAAAAACAAGTTTATGCTTTGACACATACACATCTGCCATTGTATATAATTCATGATAAGTTTTTTGTACAGCTGCTTCGAGTAAATGCGATAAAGGAATTTTATCATATATTGGCACCATTATAGCATTACTGCTACCAGCTGATGGACCAGCAGACATGCTTGAAGTAATTTAGAGATTTTTTGTTTAAAGGGTCTATTTTTTATTTTCCCTTTTTAAATTTCAACTAGATTAAGAAATGAATGGATTTTAGTCGGATAAAATTTGATTGGTTCATATACTTGATAAATGACAACTTTTAATGAAAATGGTTAGTTTTACATTGATGATTACTGACATCTATTTGTTCTAGACAAATGAAAATATGCAAAACACAAAGCTCGTATATACTGTTTAGAAATATTATTCTAGTATTAAAAAACAAAATATCATATATTTCTTACTTCAAGAGAAAAGTGAAATATTTTGCTTTTAGAACTGTCAAGGACAGAATCAATTTAAACTTTAAGATGTAAAAAATGAAACTGAGTTGCATTAAACTCCCTATATCTCCTCTGATAATTTTAACTAGAAGAAACTTCTTAACAGCATTCTTAAAGAATAATATGTGCATATATAAAAAACTATACTTCGCAAAAGTCACACTAATCTCATCCGTATAGATTTAGAGTATGGACATGTCTCGATCTTTGATAAAAAATCGAGCACATTTAATCCATTTGCAATAGAGATATATATTTGACTGATAAAAAGATTGATCACTTATAATTGATGAAGTAGTTCTATACTTCTTTACTTAAATGCAAGCTTAAAGAAAAAACTGAGAAGAGTTGAATATCAACGATAATTTATTCAAGATAACTTATGTTAAATAAAATAATCTTCAGAGTCTGTCAAGAAAGTAATTAAATCAGTATATCATTCTCAATGAGTTATCGTCAATATAAGAATCAATGTTGCTTCCTCCAAAATCTTTTCGAATAAATGTCATAACATAATCAATACTTCGTGTTCCTGGTGGTAATAAAACTTGACGCTGAAAGGGACACCATCCCGGATTTGGTTTACATGCTAAAGATCCTGAACTATCTGTACGTATTATAGCATGTGAAGATGATCGAAATACCAATTTTACTTCAGTTTCATCATAAGGCTGAAAAAAAAGATTCCAACTTTGATAATAGAATATCCATTCTACTTTAAGAATACCAGCATCAAGTTGAATTTCTGTAAAACGATGAGTACCAGTTAACAATGGAATATTTTGAAGTAAACTTGAAGAATCACCATTTGATCCATGTCCACCAGCAAAACAATAAGTTCCGGTACGTGGATGATACCCATTATTAAAGTTTCCGTTTGAATCAATTATAACAGCTGCAGGTCCCATCTGAGTCCAACCAAGAATAGATCCTTCTTCTGCACCAGGATTTCTCAGTAAATTTAGTTGATTAATTGTTGTTGCTTAAAAAAATAGGAAAAAAAAGACAGATTATTAACAACAATTGATCGGTATATTACTTGTACTTAATCTTATTGTTGATGTTTTAGCTGAAAAGAAACAAATATTAAACATGATTATTGTCATAGTAAAAACGATAAAAATGTAAACTATTACATGAAGATACTTCTGTTGTTGATTCGATCAATGAAAAAGTATTATTAATAAGTTCTTCTTCAGTCGTGTTAATCATTATCATAGCTAAAATTATATAAGAACTTTTTTCCATTCAACTGTAATTGAAATATCTTTATTATGAACGTACTCGTGTTATTTAGATTTGAGGGCACTTCGAATACAAAGTACTAAAATTTTAAATTTTTAATATATATATTACGACAGTTTACCTGTTGTTATTGTTTCAACTAAATCAAACAAATAGATAAATGAAGACATATTTATTGATTATTAAAACTTACGCATGACTTGATCCGTAACTGATAAATTATTATTTTCTATATGAATAATAAGTCGTTATTAATACCAAAGATTCTATTAAAATATTTTATCACTCACTTTCAGTAGATATTGTTGTAGAAGTTAATGTTGTTATATCTATTTAAGAAAATTAGTTGTCAGTATGAAATTTATAAAATCTTCTCGATTTTACCCAAACTGGTTGATGCTTTTGATGGAAATTCTAAATAGTAGTCATTCTTTTCATTTATCTATAAGTTTATTTCTCTTAAATTTACTTGTCAACTTATCTGTTGTCGTAATAATGAATGAAGATAAATAGCCAGTACTATTTGTAACAAGTTCCTTCATTGTACTAGCCGTTGATGTTACTAAAATAATGTTCAATTTAATCAAATTCGATCTTTCTAGATAACACAACACACTTGATGTTGTTGTTGCTTAAATTTTATTGAATGTTACCCATATCATTTAATAATATAAATGAATATTTTTCAAACTTACTCGTTCTTGTTGTTGAAATTATTGGTGGTACATCTAATATATTAACAGAGTTAAAAATACATAAAAAATATTATTTAATATTATACATACATGTACTTGTTGTGTACAAATGATTGATTGCTACAATGATGAATAAAATTAATTTAATATTAAAAAAAGTATATTACAATTAGTTTTAACTTACTTGTGTTTGATGTTATATTTTGAGTAAATCCTAAAGAATAATAACAATAAGTTTAAATCCATTTATTCGTATGATCACTAGTAATAATAATGCAATCCATAAAGATTAATAACTTACTTGTCGTAGATGTTAAAGAAGCTAAAATGAAGTATATGTACATATATAATCATTACAAATTATAAAGAAAAAATTAGGATAATCATACTTGATTGGATTGTAGTAGATGATATATCTACAAAACAAAATATAGAAAATTAGATTTTCATTCACTGATTAGTATATTTTAGGATAAAATTATATCGAATATTTCTTTTAGTTTCTGAAAAGAAAATATAATTACCTTCGGTTGTTGAAAAGGAGGATGATGATGTTTTGTCATTTGAGCGTATGACTAATACGATTGGTATAACAATACTTGCAACGAATAATAATATAATAACAGTAATTACAGGTATTTTAAATCGGAGGCTTGATAAAATCGTACCAGAAGTAGACCCTCTAAAGTTGAACTAATAGAAATGGAATAACATTCAAAAAAAAGTCAATTTATACCGAACAGTTGTAATTGTCGTATCTTCCTCTGAAAGAACATGCACTTTACGTTTAAATGGCATTTTAGTAGAATTACTTAAAGAGTTAATAACTGTTGCTCTTATATTCATTTGACAATAATTAATCTGGTCAACAAATATTTTCTTGCATTAGAATAATACTCTTTATCAATCCAACTAATCTAGATAATATTCACTTAGTATGTTATTGCTCAAGTGTCTCTT